CTTATTTGTAGTTTTCATAATATTCTGCTTCGAATTTTGAAAAAATGCAGCCGTACTTAACCATAGACCCACTCTTCAAAGTTTGAAACTTGTGCTTCATCAGTTTGCTTCTACCATTTCATTCTCCTGCTAACCTTTTGCTAAAGGTTTCTAAGATATAGTAATATTTCAGAGCTACTCTCAATAGTGATACTCATTAGAAATTTTACAACCTTTTTTTTTTCAAATTTGAAAACTCTGCTTCTAAAGGCACAACGTTTGGTGTTTTTTGTAATTTTAGTACAACACTTTCATGTATGTAAGCAATATCAAAATCTGAACCGATCTTTACAAAAATTTGCAGAGGTATTTCTGAGCTGTATCTTTGTATCAGGTACCAAGTAACATTGTTGTAAAATGCATATTGGAACGACAGCTTTATCTGAACCGATTTTCATAAAATTTGTTTTACTTGCTTCTAGGTTGAATTAGGTTGCCAAAGGTATATGGCCGTATCTCCCCACTTTACATTAACAATGCTCCACATTTTAAATTTCAGCACTTAGTTTTTTCGGTACCATTTTAATGTGTGTCTCTATATAAATATATATTTGTAATGGAGGGTATCAAAAGTTCGACTCGGGTGACTTCTTTTTAAGTGATTTTTTTATTTTGGCTTTTCACGCTCGCAGTAGACAGGTATGCGAACGTGCTTACTCGCGCGGACAGGCAGATGTCTGCAAAATTACAGAGGTAGACATGTGGACAAGCGTATAATTATTATGCATTCTTCTCAACATTTACCCGCATCGTTGCCTTGGATAGCTTGCAAAACCTGATAACGCAGAGCGAACAAGTAAGCTATACAGTCGTACATTTGCTATTTGTTTAAAATGTGGTTCAAAATCAATCTCTCCGAGAAATTCCCAACTTAAAGCTTCTCATGGGCTGCAGAAAAAAATTAGATTATACTTCCGTTTTCGCAGCTTAATCGTTCTACAAAAAAACTTTGTATTCCATCAAAATTTAAGTTTTTATTCATTTTACTTTGTTGTTGTTGTCGGTTACTTTTCTCTCCATAATAGTTTAGTTTCCCAAACTCATTAAATTTTTCATAAATCTTTACTTACTTAAGCATGCTCAGCAACAACAGTGCTAGCTACTACTACCTGGCCAAGCGAGCTAGCTACTTGAAGAAAACCCGGCCATTTAATTTTGTAGCTGTAGTTAGAAGGCTAGAACATAATCACAAGTGGCCGAAAGTAAGAGAAACAATAAAAACCAAGCAAAGCACAGAAAATGAGTTCATTGCGTGTTGAAAGTATTCAACGTTGGACATTGTTGCTCCAGCTTGTTGGCCAGATAATAATTTATGTTCAGAACAACGAAAGCAGAAAACAACAAGAGCAAGAACCAAAATAACTACTTAACAAAGTGTGTTTATGGTAAATATGTATATTTTGAACTCTTTTTCGTTTTTGGGTTTTCTGTGTTGTTTTCCGAAATAACAACTAAAGTCATTAAGATGTCAATTATTTTTGAGTTCTGAGATGCTTGACTTCAAACATCATAACGTGGCAGGGGCTATATGATGTTGTTGACTGATGTTTTTGACGGTTGGGAATTGTGATGGAAAGGGGGGACGACACTTTTGGGGGGATATACTTAAACCAGTAAGGTGAAGTCAAAAGTCGGGCGGGGCAGACTATATGATACCCTACACCATTATTCATATTTAGTAGAGCTCCCGTAATAAACGAATTTATTTGAAGCAGATCATACCACCTATCGACATTTGGCTTTAGAGCAGTTATAAATTGGTTTCTGAAGGAACTAATATAGGGGAGGCATATCCAATTCTGAATCAATGTTCACTAAATTTGACAGAGACATTTTAATCCTTTATACCAAATAACATTGCATGATATCACTTCGAGAAGGATTATATTAAAAAATGTATATCAGAGTTCCACAAAATAGAAACATACGTCCCGAAACCATTTGAGCTGAAATTTGTCATAGTTTGCACAATAAACTTGAAATCGTATTAAGGATATATTAAGGATATATATGAAAACTATATCCAAATATTAGCCGATCCCGATAAAATTTGTCAAAGCTATTTCCGAGCACTATAAGATATGTGGTACAAATGTCATTGTTTCGAATGCATACTACGAATGTGAGGGACTTAAACACTAAATTTGATGTACTTGCTCCTAGACTGAATTCGATCGGATGTACCAAAATCCAGGACTTTTGGACCGATATTGGACATTTGGCGCACAATTAACCCAAAATCGGTTGCAGATATATATGAGTGCTATATCCAAACCTGAACTTAATAAAATCTGGCAGAGATATTTCTGAGTCCTATAGGATGTCTGGTATCAAATATCATTGCTGTTGAATGCATGTTACGAATGTGAGGGAAATCGGATAAAACATATATATAGGAGCTAAAGCTATATCTGAACCGATTTTCAAAAAAATTGATGTTCTTGCTTCTAGACTGAATTCGGTCGGATGTGCCAAAATTCAGGTCATTTGGAGTGATACAATTAACCCGAAATCGGTTGAAGATATATATGAGAGCTATTTCCAAATCTGAACTTAAAAAAATTTGGCAGAGGTATTTCTGAGCTCAATTATCATTGCTGTCGAATGCATGTTACGAATATGAGGGACTTAAACACTAAATCGGATAAAACATATACATGGGACCTAAAGCTATATCTGAACCGATTTTCACAAAATTTGATATTCCTGCTTCTAGTTGCATGAGCCAAAATGCAGGTAATTTGGAGTGATACTAGCAATTTGGTGCACAATTAAATATACAGGGTGAGTTTAAAAAACTGCAACTACCTTCAGACTGCTGTCATTTCTAAGCAATCGTCCGACAGCTGTTAAAATTAATCCAGTGACAGCTCATTATATTGTTTGCAAGCGCACAAAAGAATTTTGGTGAGAACTTTCCACAAAAATTTTTATTCGTGACGTAATTCATGCGTGATAGTGTGATTTTTTTATATTTGGCTGGAAAACCACAAGTGGCTATCGTTAGAGCACTCCAGCATTTAAATGTGAATAAATCTTTAGTGTCTCGTACCATCGCTCGTTACTGTGATACTGGTAGCGTAGCCCGACGTCAAGGAAGTGGACGGAAGAAAACAGCAACATCAGCAGAAATGGTTCGAAAAGTAAAGAAGCGACTTGATCGAAACCCGCGTCGGAGTGGCCCAAAAATGACTCGTGAGCTGAACATATCGCAATATTCCATTCGGCAAATATTGAAAAATGTGCTCAGGGTAAAGCCATTGAAATTCCAAAAAGTGCAAGAACTTACACCTAAAACGAAAGAAAATAGACTCAAAAGAGCTAAAGAGTTGCTTCGCTTGGCCAAAAGTGGTCAACTGTCGAATTCGGTTTTCTCCGACGAGAAAACATTCGTTGTCCAGCAGTTTGTAAACAAACAAAATTAACGTGTTTACTTGCCAAAGAGGTCAGCTTATAATGTGCACTTTCGGTTGGCCACCAGAACTCAAGCGCCGGCCATAACAGCCGATGGTCGCTCTCCGCTCGTATTAATCGACAGTGGCATCGGAATAAATGCCGGATATTATCTCGAAAATATTCTGGAGGATGTATTAAAGCCTTTGGCACGCAAACATTTGGCCGCAGACCTTGAACATTCCAACAGGACTCAGCATCATCGCTGCACGCGCTACCCAAGAATAGCTACAAAATAAGGTTCCTCGCTTCCTTTCCAGCGCACAATGGCCACCAAAATCTCCGGATACCAATTTGTTGGACTATTGTGTCTGGAGTATATTGGAAAGCAAGGTTGGCACTAAAAAATACCAAAGTGTCGAATACCTTAAGCAAGCACTTCGCCGGTAATTGGCCACAATACCGCAGACAGTCGGGCAGCGTCTGACGGTTTCATTGGCCGTTTGAAGGCCATAATTCGTGCCAAAGGTGAAAAATTCGAACATATCTAAACGTATTCTAAAATTTGATGCTATTTCCGATTTTTTTTGCTTTCATTCAATAAAATTTAAAAAATAAACGTAAAAATTATGGCGTTTGGCATTGTTGCAGTTTTTTTCTCGCCCTGTATATAGTGGAGCTATGGCTATATCTGAACCGATTTTAACCAAATTTGATGTACTTGCTTTTAGACTGAATTTGGTCGGTAGAGCCAAAGTTCAGGTTATGCGGACTTGTGACTTGTGGCATGTGACATTTGTTGCACAATTAACCCGAAATCGGTTGAAGATATATGGGAGCTACATCTAAATCTTATCCGATTATCACCAATTTTAATAGCGTTCGTACTTTGGCCAAACAAATATTGGTTGCAAAAATTCATCTCAATTGAATAATAAATGCAACCTGCATCTTGTTCACAATTACATATGTATAGACGGACGGACTGACATGTACAAGTCGACTCAGAAAGTAATTCGCTTCCTTCTCCATGTTACATACGAATGCACAAAGACATATTATCCTTACCACTATGTGGTGTAGGGTATAAAAATTATGAATTATGGAAAATAAAGTTTAATTTTAAAATGAATAGATTATTTAGATTTTGGACATATTGGTCTGCTTTCAGCTACTTATTCAATAAAAATTGGTGTCTTGAATACATCATTGTCAATAAAATATCCTACTTTTAAATATCCTTTTTTAAAATTTCCTACCGGCCACCGGGGCGGGCTAAACTTATATAAATGCCAAACGAAGGAAATGGTTACACAATTAACAAAGTCCCTAATGAAAGTTTAATTAAAAAACCTATTAAAGTAATTTAAATGAAAAATTATTATTTCATTAATAATAATTTTTCCATTTAAAGCTACCCCAAAAAGTTTTTAAACTAAATTCGGTAAAATAGGCGAATACGATAAAAACATATTGTAAATAATAAATAAAATGAGTTTTCAAATAATTAATTTATGAATTTGTTTGGGAACATTTATATGTATGTTTAATCAAATATTCACACTTACTTAGGTCACATTAGAGTGAAAATCCATTGTGGTAATAATTCTGTAAAATAAAAAAAATATCTGAATTTAATATTTTTCATTTAATTAAAATATTTTCGCTGAAATTATAAAAATTAAATTGAAAAGCTCTCAACATGTCTGTGTAGTAAAAAAAAAAACACAATAAATTTAATTTAACAAAAATATAACTGCAGGATATGCAGACACTTGAACAGAACTGATGCCAAGGGCTGTCTGATAATCATTCGAAATAAAATGAAACGCCTGACTGGGTGCAATGCACTGTCCAACAAACACCTTAGTTTTCCCTCTTGTAGGGAGAATTTCTGTCAACATTTTGCAGTCCAATGAACAGAGGAAGATGATGGCCGAGGGAAAGGAAGGGCGAAAGATGTACAATAACAATGGGGAGAGATGATTGCAGATAGCAAGGGGAAGATAAAGGAAGGGTCAACTAAGAAACTTCAGCTTTTAGTAAGGGGGGAAGCTGTTTGCGAAAAAACGATTCTAGATAATTGCAATGGAACAAAATTAGGGGGAAGGGTGATAATAAAAGAATTATTAAAACGAGTTTTCTTTTCCATGCAAATCACTTGTGTTTCTCCTCAAAACAGTATCCCAATTGACATGATTTTCAAAATGTCACAAATAGCAGGCAAGACCAAGTAAACATTTTTAGTAGGGTTCCAATACTGATACATTGAGGGTTTCTACTTATTAAGAAATTTAAATATGAAAATTTGCCTGAAAAAAACTGAAAAACAAATTAAGAAGTATTAGTCGATTTTGGCAACAGATTTAGGCCAAAAAATTTGCGTGCCCAAGGCCTCAATACACCCTCCAGAATATTTTCGCGATAATATTCGGCATTTATACTGATGTCACGGTCGATTAATACGAGCGGAGAGCGACCATCGGCTGTTATGGCGGCCCACACAATCACCACAAATTACCGGAGCGTGAGTTCTGGCGGCCAATCGAAGGTGCACATTTTCAGCTGACCTCTTTGGCAAGTAAACACGATCAGTTTGTTTGTTTACAAAATGCTGGACAACGAATGTTTCCTCATCGAAGAAAACCAAATTCGGCAGTTCACCACTTTCGGTCAAGCGAAAAAACTCTTTAGCTCTTTTTAATCTATTTTCTTTCTGTTGCGGTGTAAGTTCTTGCACTATTTGGAATATCAATGACTTTACCCCGAGCTCATATTTCAATATTTGCCGAATGGAATATTGCGATATGAGAAAACATTCGGGAACATATTCAGGAGCAGCACGCGCCACCCAAGAATGGTTACAAAATGAGGTTTCTCGCTTCATTTCCAGCGCACAATGGCCACCAAAATCTTCGATCCGTTGGACTATTGTGTCTGGAGTATTTTGGAAAACAAGGTTGGCACTAAAAAGTACCAAGGTGTCGATCACCTCAAGCAAGCGCTTCGTCGGGAATGGGCCAAAATACCGCAGAGCAACATTTGGGCAGCGTGTGACGGTTCCATTGGCCGTTTGAGGGCCATATTTCGTGCCAAAGGTGACCAATTCGAACAAATCTAAACTTTTTCTAAAATTTGATGCTATTTCCGAAAGGTTTTGCTTTCATTCAATAAAGTTTAAAAAATAAATAAAAATTATGGCGTTTGACTTTGCTGCAGTTTTTTATCTCACCCTGTATGATTATAAAATTAATAAATAAAAGACTTAGCACTTTTTGATTTGCAACAAACCCAGACTACTTATTGTTTGTCAATATAACCACCAAACACCATCCGTGTTCTCAGCTTGGGTATGGGGTTAAATGCAAATGCCACCATAATCTCCATATTTACATTTATAATTCAGTTAGAATAAAAGGAAAAACTACTAAAAACTCTACAAATTTGTTTAGTTTTTATCATTTAATTTATGTACATAAAATGCAATCAAAATATTTCATCACCTAAATACAAATGCAATTTGTATTTAAATTTATTTACACATTTTATTTCGTGGTTAGAATCGAAAGATATACAGACAAGCAAAACAATGAAATGCAAACAAAAAATTAAGCATATTATTCGTTAAAATTTAATTGAATTCATATCCTTTTTGTAATTCAATCAAATATTTGTCTACATTTTGCAACAAAATATAGAGTTGCGATGATTGTTGTCATTGTTGTGATTCTGTGTTTTTTCCGTTTTTGTTGTATTGTTACAGTTTTAATTTTGCGAATGACACAGATACATTTTCATGTGTCAGCATAAATCAATGCAACGGGGGCCATTGTAAATTTCATTATGCAGGGGTATATAATGTCAATATTGAAAAAAATGTATATATAATTACATTCACCCTGCGGAATTTTCAGTATGTGTTTGTAAAAATGAAATATGAAATAAAACAAACTTAATATGTATTTCAATATCTGGTGGGACGTATAAAAATTAAGGTAGTCGAAATAAAATTTATTTGAAATTTAGAACACTCCTTACACGGAGGATTCACATATCGAGGTTAGCTGTAATAAATTGTTCTGCGGTTTTACTTTATATAACAAGAAAAATTAACAATTAAATAATAAATCGGTGAAAAAAAAAAAAAAAAAAAAAAAAAAACACAGCAGTAAGTTCGGCCGGGCCGAACTTTGTATACCCTCCACCATTTAGAACGAATTTGAAAATATTCGAAAAAGATAACATTCGCCAAAAATTCTGCTAACATCTTAAAAATACCGAATGTAGCCGTTATATTAGGGTCTGTATGACGTGCACCTACATAGGCATTGTTTGTCACAAGCCATATTCAAATTCGATACTTGAAATAAACGGTGAATAATGTAGCTAAAATAATCAAAATACCGTACATAGGGAGGAACCGTTATATCGGAGCTATACAAAGACCTAGACTTGCATGGACAATTTTCCGATTTTCTGACATCTCAAACAACTTCGGTGAGTACTGTACCTAAAATCGTCAAAATACCGAATATAGGGAGGTACTGATATATGGGGCATATACGAAGACCTCGACCTGCTTAGACAATTTTCTGTCACAGACTATAGTTTCCATTACGAATATCGGGAGGTACCGTTATATGGGGGCTGTATGAAAACGTGGACCCACATGGCCCATTTACGAACTTAACCTGCCAACTGGCTAAATAAACATGTGTGCAAAATGTTAGCCTTATTTTACGTTGATCAAGAATGTATATACTTGGGTCTGACATGAGTATTTCGAGGAGTTACAAACGGAATGATAAAATTAATATACCCTCTATAGTATGATGGAGGGTATAAAAATCAACAAATAAAAATAAGATTATTTTTCGCCTAGTTTCACATTTAGGTATCTAATTTTCTAATTTTGACATCCCACAATTTTTTGTGCCCCATGCATACCTTAACGTATTTTATTTAACCTAAGCGTAGCCCTGGGAACCGTGTAAAAATAAATTTAAAAATTACATTTACATTTCCCTTTGACCAAATTCCCACCCGAGCATATGAACACATATATTTGGAATATTTATTCAGTTTTTCGGTTTCCATTCGGATCAGCGGCAAATTTTCTAAGAAAACCAACAAATGTTAAATGAATAGCAGCAGTAGTCAGTTTGGTTAAGTAAATTTATACACTCATATGTATGCGTGAAATTGTTCATTGTCTGTGCGAAATTTATGCAAAAAGGGTTATTGGATAAGGCTTACAGAAGGAGGAAATTTTATACAAAAAGGGTTTTCGTTTTTGGTTCACATTAAGTAAAATCTCAAATGGTTATTTAATTTTGAAGACAGAGAAAAATTAACAACTGTATTAAAATGTGGGAAAGATATGAACACAAAGCTGATTAGATACATTTGATTTTGAAATGTAAGGAAATTGACATTTTTCTCCCACCAAAAAGCCTATTCATGAGGGTGACTTCTGCAAACAATCAACCGTCTTATAATGATCCAAAGACAAACTATCATAGCGAAAATATTTCAAACCCTATAATACTTTTCCAGTACCCCTCAATTCATTTACAACCCTGGCACTTGAAACTACCAAGTGTGGCGAGAAAAAATGTTAAAAAAATGTGTGGGAAAATGATCTCAAGCATAAATAGCAATAATTGTTGGTTAGCAAAAGACGCCAACAAAACCAAACGATATCATCATCATCAACTCACACCACCAACACACACACACACACTCAATATTATCTATCTAATATGTGTGGTTATATGTTTTCGCCCCTCCTTCTTTACCTGTTACGCTTTAAGGCGACAGAAATGAAAACTGAACACAATTTAAAGCAATTAAACGTGTTGAAGTTGAAAGTAAAAACATGAAGAATGTAACAACTAACGACAGTGCTAATATAGCTGAAAAGAGTCAAATTTATAAGAGCTGTTGATATGTGTACCTATTTTTTTAGATTTTTATAAAACATGTTTATTGGACTGTCAGGTTCATCCCTAAGAATTGTCAAGGCCTTAAACTGGCGTATTTTGATGGCGTATGTGCCTCTTTTACTAATATTGACAATCCTAAAAATAATCTTAACTACACACCCTCCGCGATTTAAACTACAAAATATATTATTCTCATAAAATTAACAAGTTAGAATAACTTGTTTTTATCACATCAAATGGTGGGACTGAGTAAAAATTTCCAACTACAAACCCCCCTGGTTAGAATCTCTGCTGCATCAAACAAACAAAAAAAATACGAAAATACTGAGAGTTTTACGAGGCAGATTCATCTCGCTAAAAATCTAGTAATGAAAGGTCAAAAGTCGGGCGGAGCCGACAATATAATACCTTACACCACTATGTGTATTTAGTTTCGCCAAATGGTGAAATTTGGTTATATAAAAAAATCTATTCAATTTGGGCTGATTTTATGGTAAGCAATAACCGTACATTCGGATGAAGATGTATATCGAAGCTATATAAAACCTGAACCGATCTCAATAAAATTTGGCAGAGGTATTTTCGAGCAGTATATGATCCCTGTATCAAATATCATTGTTGTGGAATGTTTATTACGTATGTGAGTGACTTTAACAACAAATC